CTCCCCGCCCCCTGCCCCCGCGCCAGCCAATGGCCTCCCAGGTGCAAGGGGCTGCTCCCCCTCTCGCGTGTCAGGGCGCTGGGCGTGCAGCTGAGCCGGCCACACCCGGGCCCGGAGCCTCCTCCCGCCCCAGCCCGGGCAGCGGGCCCTTCCCTGCCGGCCCGGGGGAAACGGGGCATCCCCGGTCTCTGCCTTGGAGCGACAGAGGTTCCCGGGGCCTTCCGTCTAGCGAGGGGCTGAGCAGTGGCGGGGGGAGGGGGCGTCCTGGCCCACGTTGCGTTGGTGGAGACGAAGGTCGCTGCCATGGGGCGAAGCACGCGGGCCATATGGAGCAAGGATGGGGCTCGGCTCAGATCCTCCTTTGCCAAACCACCAAGGCCAACCCAGGGCTGAACTGCTGGTGTGTCGGGAGCTGCGGAGACTGAACCGACTGAACCTCCCGAGCCCCCTACACTCAGTACCCCCCGCGCTAACCCCCTCCAAAAAGGCTGGTTGGCAAAATGAACCTTATCCAGAAAACTTTCCCTGGCTGGAAATGGCTCTGCTGTCTCAATGGAACACCCCCTCCAACTTCTTGTAGAGGATTCCTCCAGGTTCTGGGAACACTTGGGGTCTGGGGGTTTTCCCAGCAGAGCATCTCTCCTCAGAAAGGCTCTTGCCAGTTGTAAAATGTTCACTAGACATTCTGAAAAAAGGGACAGGGGAGCAAGGTAGTTCTGTGTCCAGAGGAGCCAGTCCATTTGGCCACACCAACAGGATTAACCAACAGAATTGACAATGGCCACCTTTGAGACAAGAGACCAAGACACCAAAGGCCACTGACTCCAGCAACTCCATGCCCTGCCTGGAAGAAGCCAATAGCGGATGTTCCTGAGGAATGTGCAACCTGCCCATTTATACAGCTGGCGATTTGCATGATGCTGTAGATGGGGTGGGAGACGGGTGCTTTCCGACCCCGCTCTCAGCAGATTATGTCATTGAGCATGAAGATTGATTTTCATTGCAATTCTTGTGTATGGTCATATAACATTATCCAGCTGTGTTTTCAATCCAGGTGCAGGGAAGCCACTCTGAGACACAATCAGCACCTTTTCTATGACAGATCCCAACAAGTGAGACTGGATCTATTCTGTTCCTGGTGTAAATCTCTGACTTTCACCAGCTAACCCAGTCTGGGGCCCATGGGGTAATGCTGAAATAACATGTAATCACTCTTACCCCCACTAGAACAATCCTGTCTCCCTCCCTTCCATCCCCAGTCAGACTAACGGCACATCCAGATCAGTGTCCACTAGCACCTTAGAGACTAAGAAAAGAATACATATAGTAACATAAACATTTGTGGGCACAACCCACTTCTTCAGATGAGTGGAGCAAGAGGCTCAGAGAGGCACAACCCCCCCAAAATTTAAAGCAAAAAAAGAGAGGAGAAGTGGAAGAGAAAAAATGGTCAATTAGAGTGCCTGTGCTAAATGAGGCTAATAGAGTGGGCTGTACATTCGCAATACTTAGCTTTTGATGTCATTTGGGTGTTGAATATAATGGCCCATCCAGTTCATGTCTTTGTTCAGTCCCCAGGGTAAAGGCGTCAAATTTGCATATGAACGCCAGTTCCGCAGTCTCTCTAGTTGGTTCCTGAAGTTACTTTGCAAAAGAATGGCTACTTTTAAATCCATTAATGAGTGTGCATGCAGGTTAAAATGTTGCCCAACAGGTTTTTGTGTGTTACCATTTCGACTATTTAGTTTGTGTCCATTAATCCTTTATCGAAGAGACTGTCTGTTTTGGCCAATATACGTGGCAGAGGGGCATTGCGGGCACTTGATGCATACCTCACATTAGAGGATGTGCAGCTGTATGAGCCTCTGAAGTGGTGGCATACGTGGTGCTCCCATCTCTGCAGTATTTAAGCACTTCAGATACTTGCAACTATGAGCATCAAGCGTTCTGTATCCCCGGCATGGGAGAGCAAATGGGTTACCCCACCTAGGCCACTTTCCTGTCTCCAGCAACGCTAGTGCTTCAGAGGAAGATGCAAGAGTCCGTACGATGCCACCAGATGCACTTTCCTTTCGAGGCAGGAGAGTGTGGCCTGCTAATGCTCTGAGCCAGGCAGGGGACTCAGAGTTATCTGGGGAACATGCATTAGCTGCGTTTAAATCCAATTCCCTTTGCATCCTGGGTGATTTTGCATTGGCCTGTCCTTTACAATTCTATGTGACCAGTCCTACAAGGAACAAGGCACCTTTCAAAATGATTGCTGTAGGGCAGGATCCAATCTGAGACGCCCCACCTCCATCCCCTTGGCAGCTCCTTGCCTCTCTAGGGCAGCAGGTTTGCTCCATGCACATGGTGCCCTGTGATGCCAGCACTCCAAGCCTCTGCCTGGTGAGCTAACGGGCAGCTCAGCTGGGGGAGAGGGGATTGGAACCCACACAGGCAGGATTGAGACAGGCTAACCAGCGGAGGATGGCAGGGTTCACACAGACACTGGTGTGACTCCTCACTGCAGCAATAGATGACCAGGTCTCCTCCTGCTCTCCTCCCAGGCAGAGGATTCCTAGTCATCTGCCTCTGGGCCCCTAGTCAGCACATTGGCTCCCCTCCCACTAGCCACCACCTAACATGGACAATTAGCAGACCCCCTCAGATCCTACCAACTGGACTCCAGCACTCAGCTCCTCCAAGCCCAGCCTGCTGACATTCATGATGTGGAAGCACCTCGAGGCTCCCACCAAGACTGGAAGCCCATTATGCTATAAGGAACCATAAGGAGAGGCCATTCCCTGCCCCCAGGGCTCTCCTAGGGACTCTGTGTCCCATTCAGAAGAAGGCTAGAAAGGCCCCACTTGGTCTCAAAGCAATTCCCAGGGTCCCTTTTAAAGCATCTCTGTCTTGGGAGTTTCCATGTCGGCAACTCAAGGGCCCAGGACCCCCCAAAAGCTCAGGCTATTTCCATCACTCCAGCAGCTCTCCAGGTTAATTCTTCACTGAACTGTCATTGGATCATTTGACCAACCCCTGGCAGCTCCCATTCTGCGGGGCCCACTGTGCAGAGTGTGGCTAAGAGGCTGGCACGCTCCAGAGGGCAATCCTGGCAATGAATGGAGGGGGTCAGTCTCATCCTCCTGCTCTGGTCCTAGCCATGACTTTGCAGGAGCTAGAGACATCAGCCGTGCTGGGCTGAGTGGCCCTGACCCACATGGCTTTGCTGTTCCCATCCGGTCAGGGGAGTTCCGGGAGGCTCGGCTGCAGCCCAGTCACATGCTCAGACCTGTTCCACCACCAGAAAGCAAGTCTCCAGGGGAATGTCTTCAACAAACAAACAGCCGACGGAATGGCTCCAGCATTTCACTAGAGTCTAATCTGGGATGGCCACCGGAAAGAAAACAAACAGGAGGTGCTGGGGCTCCCAGGCTGCTCAATTCCCAGCAGAGAAGAGAGCCCAGAAGCCTGGAGCCTCTCTTTCCCAGCATTCCTCAACACCGGGACTAAGGGCCACACATGGAGACCTGATCAAAGGAACAACTTCTTGGGGGGGGGAGAGAGAGAGAGAGAGAGAGAGAGAGACTTACTGTTAACCCCTGGAACTCACTGCTGCAAGATACTACAGGACACCACACAGGTTACCCTTGCTCCTTGCATGGCAGGGTAGAGCAAGCTAGACTAGATGGGTCCCATGTGGCAACACCACTGGAGAGTGGTGCTGGGGTTACTCTGCAACCAGCTCTAGACACGCATGTCCTGGAATCTTAGCTTTGGGAAAGGCCAGATGCAGAGGGAAACCAATGATCAACATTAGCCCATGACGCGGGGCACTGTGGAGCGGTCGTGTGGAACATCACTGGCCTTGGGGCCCCAGAAGGTGCGCACAGTTTTCCTGGCTGTTGGGCTTGTGTTAATCTCATAGGGAGCCAAACTGAGAAGAGATGGGCTATAGAATTCCCTCCTGGGCTGGACTAGTGAGCTAGCCAGCACATATCCTGCCTTCTACAGTGCCAGCACTGGCTGCTCCAGTAATAGGTGCAAGAGCCCTGCAATATGCAGCTCTGGGATACCCTGCCCACAGAGACATCACCTCCAGCACCAGGTGGTGGCTGGGCCATGCCTGGAGGCAGCAGGGCTCACCTCTCTTCTCTAGCGGGACTGAGAACATCCTCATCACCTGATAAATGCCAGCTCCTTTGGGGGATCCTCCTCCCTCCCTCTGCCAAAGGGCATATCCCTCTAGTCAATCCCCCTCCCCTGGCAGAGGCTGTGCCATGTTTCCAGTCCTGTACCTCCCCCTTCCCATGTCTCCTCCATCATGGGCCCCACCCCAGCATGGCAAGTGGCTTCTCCCCACACTACAGCAGCTCAAGGCAGCCTGCACCTCAGAAACAGCTGCTCTGGTGCCAGGCCTTGCCAGCAGGCAGCGAGCCCCCTCCCTCCTCCTCCGGGTATCTGCTTTACCTGTGTCCTCGCTTCCTTGCTTGAAGGCCCAGATCCTGCAGGCTCAGGAGTTCCCCCTTCCACTCCTACAAGAGCAACAAGCAGCTGGTCCATGTGCATCTTCCAGGAGGGAGTGGGGGGCCCATTGTCCTGAGCAGCACCCGGCAATCCCACATCCAGTGCCCCTCCAACGCTGGATCCATGGGTCGGTGCCACCCACTTGGGGCCTTGTGCCCACTTAGCTCTCTGGCAGAAATGCTCCAGGGTGCAGCCTGCCCTGGGCTCCTGCAGCAATTTTCCAGACACACAGTTTGAAAGGCAGAGGAGGGGCTGCCATCTCCCAGCTCCCTCTTAAAGGCACCGCATCAAGAGCACCCCTGTCCCGCCTCATTAGCACTTCTTTGCATAGGGCTGTGTTCAGTCCCCTCCCCTAGGCCCTTAGGAGCTCCGGGGCTGGTGGCCTTTCACTGCCCTGGGTGGGCCTGGCGCTGGGTGAGTGGAGGTGGCTAACTGCACAGACACAGACACAGACACTGCAAAGCAGGGCGACCTCTCGGCCCCCGCTCCCATCTGTCATTCAAATGGGAGCAGCCTCCTGCTCAGCAGCCTGTCTAATGAAGGCAGGGCAGCCTGTCCCAGTTAGAAGAGGGGCTTCATTAAACAAGGCACAGAGGCAGCTGGCTAGTGCGCGGTCACTGGCCCCAGGCCTAGAGCAGGAGGGGCTGGATGTGACGGCTGAAACCGCTCCGAGTTTGACACCCCCATCCCGGGCAGCCACAGCAGAGGGCTCCGCGCCTGGCGTCTCCGCAGCGTGGTGCTTACCCGTGTCCTCGCGGCCCCTCTGGGACACACAGACCCTGCAGCAGCTCTGCCGGGAAGTGTGCGGGGTACTGTGGCTGGGCCAAGAGATGGGCCTCCAGCTCTTGTCAGAGCGGGCAGGACCCAGCTCCCAGTGGAAGGGAGCCCCTGGCCAAGGGCCTGCTGCTGTGAAACGCTGCTCCTGGCTGCTGCAAGCCACTCTGGGCTCTGCCAGCAGCCACGGGCTCCAAGGGACCAGCTGTCACGGCAAGGCCTGGCCAGGGGCCCATGCACAGCAGGCGCTCAGAGGGGGAAGAGGCCCCGCAGCACCTGATGGCAGCACCGCAGGGCGCAGCATAGACACTGCGGCAGGGAGAAGGGGCATGGGCCTGCCCAGGTGCTGCAGCACGACTGACTCAGACCTCCTGAAGAATGGGCTGAGGGCCCCAGCCCAGGAAGCATCTGCCAGAGCAGCCCCAGCAGCCCCTCTGCGCCAGGGGCACCCAGATTCAGCAGCACAGAAGCAGCCCAGCAGCTCCTCTAGGCCAGTGTCCTGCAGTGCTAGGACAGACTGGGGAGCAGCCTACGCTAGCAGCACGTCAGCAGGGGCACAGCAATGGTTCTGAGCCCCCGAGAGCTGGGTGCCCCCTCCTCATCCTGCCCCATGTAGGCCACAGGAGACGGGGGGCTGTAGAGCAGGCAGCCGGTGCTGCTTTCCTAGTCACCAGATCAGATCCATCATCCCCCCCTCTCCACAGCGGTGCCGGGAGAGGAATCCTGCATGTAGCCTCCAGGCCTAACATGCTCCTCCAAATCCCAAAGCCATCATCAGCCTGCCCCTGCTCTCCCCGTGTCCCCATCCTCCCCTCCTGCCGGGCGTGTCAGTGGAGGCGCAGTCGCTCTGGGGCCGGGATACCTCGCCGGGACAGGAACTCAAGGAATCTGCCTGCAGGCAGCTTGCGCTCCTCCCTGCTCCGCTCAGCAACGGGCCGCAGGAGCCAGAGCCACCTCCACGGAGCAGGGCGACTACTGGGCAGGTGGCGCTGGGACTGGACCCTCCTTTCGTCCAGCCCATAGAGTTCCTTGGGTTAGGCAGTCGGGGCTGGAAGGCACCTGCTTATAGCGGCCCTGTCCCTCCTCAGTCCTGCCTAAAGACCCCCCCCCCAGGCCTGAACATCTCCCCCTCCCCGCTAGTCTAGCCCTGGGGCCCTACACCACCCTGCCAGCCACTCCTAACCCCCCAGCTATTCTAGCGCTGTGTGTGGCCGAAGGAGCACTGGCCGAGTTGTGAAGGGTTCCAGGGCTAGAATAAAATACAGGACTATGTAGCACTTTAAAGACTAACAAGATGGTTTATTATCTTGTTAGTCTTTAAAGTGCTACATAGTCCTGTATTTTGTTTCAGCTACACCAGACTAACACGGCTACATTTCTACCACTATTCTACAGGGCTAGAATAGTGTGTGGGGAGCTGTGGGGGTGGAGTACCCCTCCATCGACCCCCACAGCTCCTCCCCCTCATTGTTCCAGCAGAGCCACTGAGCAGAGCTGGCTGGGCAGTGGCTGGGAGCCTGCACTGCGAGGGACTGTGGCCCTTTGTCCTGTACCAGCTGTAGAAGGAACTCGCCTGAGCTACCTCACTGGCCCGGAGTACTGCCCGCAGCACAGGCAGGTGCAGGGCCGATGAGGGTCTCATCATGGCCTGTCCCCTGCTAATATCAAGTGGAAGGAAAAGCCCCCGGTGCTCCCTGATGAGACCTCACCTCCAGGGAACATCTTCCTCCCGGCTCCAGTGCTGGGAAAGGCCCCTGGGCAGGCAGGACCACTGCCCTGCAGAGAGCAGCCACGCCGAACTCCCAGAAGCACACAGCCAGCTCACTCACTGAGCCATCTATTATCTGGGCCCATTCCCTGTTACAGAGCAGCTCCGGTCTGGCTCAGCTGCAGGCCACAGCCCCCATGGAGAGCCAGGAGAGGCTGCAGGACCCTCAGCCAGGGAACTGGGGGAGAGCTGGGGTCTTCCATGGGGCTGGCTGAGACTGGGGGGAGGTGGTCCATGATTCGCATGCTCGGTGTAGCGAGAAAAGGGACCTTCTCCATCTGGCTGCGTCTGCCTGTTTACTTCACCGACCCCAGCCTGGCCCTGCAGCTTCCCTTCTGGTCTCCGGCACTGCCCTGCACAGCTCTTCTAGCCATGCTCCTGCCCAGAGCAACAGAGCACATCCAGGACTGGGCCTGCTGGGGTACCGTCGATGGGCATGAGGTGAAGGCTGGAGGTAGGGGGGATACTGGGCTGGCCACACACACGGAGGGGCTGGATTGGTTTCCATGCTGTGCCTGTAGGCCCCGTGCCTTGGGGAAGGGAGGTTTCAGACAGCTCCTTCCAGGCCAGGGTTAAGGCTTCCTGGCTGGAGGTGGCTCAGCTGAGCCATGTCACACCCTTCACTCAAGGCTGTGGACAGAGCTGGTCTTAGGGGCAGGTGAGCTGGGCGGTCGCCCGGGGCTGCCATTTTCAAGGGGTTGCGACTGCATTTCAGCCTGACCTCCTGAATCCTCCCCCCAGGTTTCCCTGGTTACTCCCCGACCCTTTTTTTTTTTTGCTAGACAAATCTTCCCCAGCGGGGTTTTTTTTTTTTTTTTTGGTCTGGTAACCCTACGGGCGAGCCGGGCAGTTGCCCGGGGCTGCCAATTGGTTAGGACCAGCTCTGATTGTGGGCTTGCTCCCGGCTAAGCTGGGAGCTACCTGGGAGCAGGCCTGGGCAGAACAGGAGGGACACTAATTCTCTCCCACAAGCAACAACAAGAAGGCGCTTTGCTGCCACAGTGGGATACAGGAGTGGGGGCGGGGGGGATGCACAGAATGTGTGGGGCGGGAAGGAGCCCAGGGCTCAGGACAGAAAGCTTCTGCAGAGGTAATTACTGGTTACTGCAGAGTGAGGAGCATGGTGAGAAAATTAAAGGGAACAGCAGAGACACCAGCTCCTTTCCGTAGGGGCTGCTCAAGTAATTGCACCTCTGTTTCCAGTCCACAGCCTCAGCCTCCACTGCCCCTGCTTGTCTGGATCCCACCTGCCCTAGTTTGCAGTGCGGCAGCAGGCCGGGACCCCTACCATAGCCAGGCTGCTAAGGGGATGTCTCCACCCTGCAGTGGAGGGGGAGGACAGGCAGGGCTGGCTCCTCTGGGCCAGTAAGGCTGGGGGTCCTGCCAACCCTGCCAAGGTAGGCAGGAAAATCTAGAAGCAACCAGAGAGATACTAAAAAATAACTGCCTCCCAGATCCGTCCTGCCTGGCAGATCTGCTGCCTCCCCAAAGGACTGCAGCACAGTCACCAGCCTCTCAGACAGGGGCTGTGCACCCACTCCAAAGAGCTAGCTGAGTGGGCCAGGCTGTCAATGGGCGTGGGCAGTTACTGTACCTGCACCTGCAAAGCATGCCCTTGCAGACAGCTGGTTGATTAGACCCATTTGTACACACAGCTACCTGAACTGGGCACAATTTTGCTCCCCTGTTTTTGGCAATCAGGCCCACAGTGAGCCATAGCTAGTTGCCTGCTATTTCTGAGATGGGTGTGCAGTAGGCACACTGAGGCACAGACACCCTGACAAGGCAGGTGTCCCTACCAGCGCGCTTGGAAATCAGGGACTGCTCCCTGCCCTGGGGACACTGGAGGACAGCCGGGAAGAGGACAGCCGGGACGCTCCTCTTTTCTCCACCTCTCCGCAAAGGTGAAGGGCTCCCGGAGGAAAGGCTAATTGCCAGGCAAACAATCCGCATGCTGCTCTGAGGGTGCTTACCAATGCCTAGGACAAAGGGGGTGATTGGCTTCCCATGCAATTTCCCTACCGCTGGCCTTTACAAAGAGCACCGAAGGTCGTGTGCAGTCAGGCCCAAGCTTTCCAGCACATTCTTCCTGCCACCACAGCAGCAGCAGCAGCCGCCAACCTTCCCACCCACTCGCTCCCCAGAGAAAAGACCCTCCCTGACCGAGGATTGAACAAAATCAGGCAGGAGGCCCGGTTTCCAGCAGCCTTCGCCAGTGGAATGGTTCCCGGTGGGGAAGTGGGAGCTTGCTCAGAGCTCTAGTGGGGAGAGTAGCACGACACGGGTCGGTCTGGCCTTTGCTACCGGATCCTTTGCTCCTTCCTTATATCCACCCTGCTGCAAAACATTGCCCCTATTTCTGACAGGCAGGTAACACCCCACCACCAAAGCACAGCACTGACCACATTCCCACGACAGGTCACACAAGGCCCTGTCGCTCTCAGGAGGGGCCACAACGGGAGCACTTATGGCCTGGACCAGGGGTCTCTTGTGAGGAGGGGGGACTGAAGTGCACAGTCCTGGCTGAGCTCTGCCCTCCATTTTCCCTCTGCCCCCAGCGTGCAAGGGAGCGGAGCCTGTCACACATTCCTGCGCCGCAGGCTCAACGGTCCGTGGGCAGAGCCTCTTGGGGCTGAGCTGGTGGGACTGAGGGGTGCAGACTGGCAGGGCGAAGTGCGGCCCTCCAGCAACATGCCA